TTGTTTTTTTTGCTGATTTCAATACAGAAAAAAATCTAATAATTTTACTGTTGTAAAAAAAAAAGAAAAATACCACATTGAAATTTGTACAAAATATGTATTTTTAATGTGGACAATATTCACAAGTTTTACCTGTCTTGTTTCACAGTTAACATGCAAAGTATTGCGTTTTTCCCCATGATTTTACTGAATATTATCTGTAATTTAACAGAACAGGGTAACTGTAAAATAGCAATAAAGTCTTTAAAATATTATATTAATTCATATAAATTTGTTTTTACAGTACGTGTACGTTATTTGAAGTTGCAGCACTAATATGATGCACAAATAAGTCTGTATATGGTGTCCTTAGACCAATGACATAGACAAAATATTATTTTCCAGTAAGGCATCATTTCCTCAAGTGCATTTTGCATATAAAAGAGATGCACGCTGCTGCTTGTAAGGTCAAGTCTTTATTGATATGGTGTCGTACAGCAATACATAAACAGTAGTAACAGTAAAGAGAATAGCATGTCAACTACATTCAATCCCTATGCTTTTGTTGTCATGGTAACTATAATAAACACTACTGAAGAGATAACAATGATTAAACACCCCACTGAACAGAATCATACACATCGCACACATCGCCAGAAGCTGCTGGTGTTTTAAGGCATTTCTACAGTATTTATTCTACAGTATGGCTAAATCTTGATTGTTGGTTTTGGACCGGTGACGTTCTGTATTTTTCACAAAATTCTTTGTTTTTTTTCTTCTACAAAAGTTTGGCAGTGCTGTAGTAGTGATGTTTTTTTTGTTTGTTTTTTTTCAGACATCCATGAAAGCTCTTTTGGTTTACAGTGAGAGGATAAAGGCTTGACATTTGCAACCATGAATAATTCATCCGTTGTTATAGTGCGAACTATAAAATGTTGTATTTTTATAGGTTTTTCTGAGATTTTTCTTCTGCTTGACACTGGAATACATTAACCCACGAACAAAAATGCCACCTTAGTTTCAGATTTGCCACCACCCCCCTTTTCTCTTTAATTCCACGTATGTTAGGCCACTGTGTATAGATACAAACATGCTTACTACAGTACTGAGATGCTTGTCTCAAGCTTCAGGTCAAACGATAGGAACCTGATGGGAGCAGCCTGCCGTACAATCAATAGTTTCCATTCTTAGTGTGAGTGCAGTTTGTCGGGGCATTAAAACACCACGGCCAGCAGCAAGAGAGTAAGATAGCTGTGTTAAGAGTTGGCAGTGCACAAGCAGAAAAAACGAGCAACAAGTCTCTTATTCTGAAGGATTTCTAGTGGTGAGATTATACTACAACAGACATTTTATCCAGTCATGGCCACAGTTAGGAAGAGAGAGGTCCTGTTGCTTCAAAACACATCGTGGTCTGGCAGGTTGTTTTTTTATATTAAACTTTATGCATCTTGGTGGTTTTCTTCAGGCTGAGTGATATGATATTGATTCTGGGGTTCATATGTGCTTCATGGGAGAAATGGTGTTGTACAGTTTATGTATATGCCCAGATGGATGAATCCTACAGAATCACATGCATTTGTGCTAAAGCATAATTCACAATTCAGTCTCTAATTGACTGAAATGTGTAAAGACTCCTTTTTTTTTGTCACATTAGCTATTCAGCATTTTAGCTTTCCCCTGTATCCTTCACAGCAAATTGTGCAAACTGTTACCTAATAGTTTCCATTTAAGTGCATCATAGATTAGCTTCCCGCCTCACCTTCATATCATAGACAGCTGAGATCTAAGAGTTATACAAGTAGTTTAGATCTAGCCTCACAAATACATGTTTATTATGGTCAATAATGGATTTTGTGCAGGATGACAATGATGACACAGAGCACGGTCAATGTTGAGAAGCTTTTAACTTCAAAGAAACCCCCCCAAAAAATGTTAGATGAGCAATGAGCCGATGGAATCCATGCAACCCTGACATCTACATACACCATGCAAATTAAGCTCAATTAATACATTTGTTTTCTTGCTTTGCTTTGAGTCTTAATCTCATTTAAATAGCTACAGTAATCCAATTTTGTTAATGAAGCTTCGCCAGGAAGTTCAGAGGGGGTCAGTGCTCGACCAAGGATGCTAATCCTCCTTCGTACTGTTGTCATGCAGAACTGATTGGACCAAACCGCTGATGCACCGACCATGATGAGAACAAAAATCGTGTGAGAAGCGATTTAAGCGACATCATGGTTTCACTAAAGAGATTAAAAATAACTGGCTCATTCGTTATTGACTATTTTGGCTCGTTTCTCATGTAGACGTGTGCTTCTGTACTAATCTGTCACTGTATTTGTGTTGTAAAAGTGGATGTAGACCAACGGTAGATGATGTGTTTTATTCTGTTTCACATGCTTTCCTTAGAATGTGTTGAGAGTAGCTCACAGTTTGTGGTAGAAAATACATGACCAGAATTATTGCCTACTGTGTATCTGTACTACATACTGACTAGTGAGAAAGACCAGTTGAGTACTGTAAGTTTGAATGAACACACTTATGTAAGAGATGCTACCTAAGTGCTGGTTGGTGCGGAGTTGGTGACAGAGAGAGAACAGATGTACTGTGGTTTTGTATCGTGTGATGTTCTAATGGAATTATCATGGATTTCCTTTGGGGGACACCTGTGGGGGAATAAAGGGGGATGAACACACCAACTTAAAACAAACCTGTAGATTTATACACTTGCACGCATCCAACACACACCAGTCTAGATAGAAACCATGACAATCTCACTATTTCATATGAAGTGCTTCAAGTGTGAATGCTCAAGGTTTGTTTTAGGATGGGACATGAAGAGGTTTGCGAGAAGGGAAGCTTTAGGGGTTCAGATCAGGCTTACAGAAGGCTCCTAGTTTTTCTGATTGATGGGAATATCATCCTGCTGCTTCTCCATCTTCTTTGTGGTGACGACTGTCTCCTCGTAAACTTCGCGCTGGGACACCTTCCCCCCAGACTTAATCGGCTGCTGTTGCTCCTCGTCCTTTCCCTCCTTCTTGGAGCTCTTGCCGGAGCTGGAGTAAATGCGGGTCTGATAGCTGTAGCCCTGCCCTGAGGTTATGGAAGGGGTCGGATAGGAGAGGCCCGTCCCAATGCGGGTCTCCTCCCCTTCCAGTAGTTTCCTACAGGGAGGATGACATAAGGAAGGATTTAGAAAGGAAAGACAATGAGGAAAGAACATGAAATAAAAAGGAAATGTAAATAATGAGCATACCTGTATGCTGCAATTTCAATATCCAGTGCCATCTTGACATTCAGCAGATCTTGATACTCCCTCAGGTGGCGAGCCATCTCACTCTTAGTGGTCCTCAGGTCATTCTCCAGCTCTGCCATGCTTTCCTGAGCAAGAATAAGCAAGAAAAAGAGGCCAGAGTTCAGCATTTTTGGTTAGAAAATAATATTCTGCGACCACATTGCATGTATAGGAACAATAGCAGCTCCTACACAAAGACCTCTGGCTGATAACCTGTGTGTTGGAGTCATTTATGGATAAAATGAGTTGAAATATTCGCCTTGGAACATTTTTTTCACTGGAAGTGGCAAATCAAAAGCAGCACTTGCTTGAATTTGCACATTTGCAGCTGCCCTACACTCAGTGGGCGTTGTCAGATGCAGCTGAGCGTGTTGTCCCAGGGGAGCAGGTTCAGCACCACGGACAGAGACACAGCCTCCCCCGTTATATTTTATGGCTTTAGAGAAACAAAATACTATACTGAGTAAATAAAGCTTTAATAAACTGCAATGAGACTGATAATAAATAGGTTATTTTCCATCTCTGTGTAATCCTTCTTACCAGACATTAAACAAGGTTTACCTGGTAGTTTCCGATCTCCACGTTGTGCCTGTCCTCCATCTCCCGCAGTTGCTTTTCCAGAGACTCGTTGGTTCCCCTCAGACTCTCAATCTCGATGGTCTTGGACTGCAGCTGCCTCCTGAACTCGTTCATCTCCTCCCTGCTGGCTCGCATGGCCTCGTTACTCCGACTGGCCTGTTCGGACAGATCCGCAAACTTGGTCTTGTACCACTCCTCGGCGGACTGCAGATTCTTGGACGCCATGGACTCGTACTGGCCGCGGATCTCTTTGAGCGCGGAGGTGAGGTCCGGCTTGGACACCTCCATCTCCACGGACACCTGGGCCGCCTGGATCATGTCCGTCAGCTCGGCCACCTCCTCTTCGTGCACCTTCCTGAGGAAGTTGATCTCGTCCAGCAGAGATTCAACCTTCTTCTCCAGGTCCAGGCGCACCATGGTGGCATCGTCCACGTCTTTCTTAAACGCCTTGAGGGTGACCTCCGCCTCCTCCCTGGCGCGGAACTCCTCTTCGTATTTCCCCCTGAGCTTCTGTAGGTCGTCTTCTATGTTGTCTCTCTCGATCATCAGCTGGGATTTCTCCCCGTTCAGCTCATCCAGCTGGGAGCGCAGTTCGCGGATCTCCTGCTGGTAAAGCTCCGCCAGGCGGGACGGCTCGGTCTGCCGCTGGCGCAGAGCGACCAACTCCGTCTCCAGCACTTTGTTGTGCTGCTCCAAGTTGCGCACTTTGTCGATGAACATTGCAAAGCGGTCGTTGAGACCCTGCATTTGTTCCTTCTCATTGGTGCGGATGATTTTGAACTCATTGTTGAGAACGCTGCTCTGGGTCAGGTCGAAGGTCTCCAGCGGCATGGAGGAGAAGGAACGGCCGGACTTTCTGCTGTACGAGCCAAGGGAGGAGACGTTTCCCCGGGACAGAGAGGAGGACCGGTAACCTCCCCGTGAGGACACGTTCATATTTGTGCGCGATGGAGAGGACGCATAACGGGGAGATTCCCCGAAAATCCTCCGGTAGGAGGAGGAGGAGAAGACATCAGATCCGTAGCTCATCTTCGCTGGTATGGAGACAGAGCAGAGCAGTGGGCGCGTCTCCTTTATATACGGGATCGACCCAATCACTAATTAATGCCAGCTGGTGACATCCGGACTGCTCGTTCCACATGCACCAGGCTGTCCAGTCTAGAAGCGAACCCTCACTAAATATTGTTCCAGAAATGTTTTTCCTTTGATCAGAGTTAGTTCACATTAAATCTGACATCTTTCCAGATGTGGCTCTGACTAAGTTCAGTCTGTGGAGCAGATGGAACTGTCCTTTTTGGCGCAGTGGGGATGCATCAGTGTTTGATTACTTCCTGCAAAAGCAAACAGATATAATATGTAAGTGTTCCTCTGGTGGTGAATCTTGAGATTTCCATTTAACTTCAATTTAGCTGAGAAAGAAAAAATACTGAAAACAAAATTCAGCCCTAATTCTAAATCCTCATCAGTCTAGAAATGATCAGTGGGGATTGTTTCATGCAAAATAATGACAATGACAACTTTGCATTGGGAGGTAACAATATTTTTTCATGGGTGTGCAACAAAGTTTAGCTCTATAGGACTGAGCATTACAGAATTTGTTCTAAGAACATTCACGGATGAATCTCCAAGAAGAAAGTGTCTAAGATATTTAATGATATAATAAAGTTACTCGTGATGATTTGTTGTGTTTGGTGTAGGACATAAAGTTTGGCCAGAGGTGCTTTGATGCTCAGTTTTCCACTGACAGACCTTTGCTGCCCTCTGTTGTCAAACTGCATCACACTGCAAGCAGATGTGAATATTTAAGATTGTGGGTGAAGTACACCGACTGTGACAGTGAATGCAGCCTGTAGGAACAGCTGGATGTTCAGGTGATTCCATGATGGATAAACTGGTGAACTGACAACTGTGTGACAGTAATTTTCTCAAAGACAAACGTTGAAAAAAATCTGCACAAAATATTTCTGCATATTTTTTTTCACCACAACTTCCCTGGACATACACATAATCTTTTTTTAGGAAATTGTTGCAACATTGCTGATTGGCTTCAGACACTATTTACAGAGACCAGCATGTATTCTAGAACAGTCACACAGTTAAATTCAGTGATACAATGCTTTAGATATAAATAGTTTTCACGTGTACAATTTTGAACATTTTTCCAAATGGCTTTACAGCCTAAGAATCAAATGTTCAAAAATAGATGCAAAACCTTTTTCTTTACTGCAGAAAGAGATTGAATGTTTTCCATGTGTTTAATATCTCATCTTACATGTGTTTATCCTGTATCATGCTTCAGTTTTTTGCGACACTGTTTGCTGTGTTTGTAGTTAGTTTTGTATTGTACATTTATTATGCGCTATGATATCAATGTTCTCTTTTCTCTTTCTGTCTTTTTTCCTTTGTAAATAACAAAGTGTGTTATGTGTGGGTGTTTTATGAAAAAATAAAACCAAAACAAAGCACCATAAAGTCTGGGAAGTCATAAAAAATTTCCCTGCAAGCCAAAGTAAACGGAGCCTTGACAGGGGTACATACAGTAGTTTCATGATGACAGCATCAACAGAAAACCTTTCATGGACCATAACGCGTCTATGTAAATTCCTTTTTGACTTTCTACTGTGGAATTTCATGAGTAAAAAAAACTGTCATGGCCAAAGATTATTCAGATCAGTGGTTTACAGTCAACGGGAAAGAGCTGTGTGATTCATCTTATTGTATTACAAATAAGGTGAAGACAGCCGGGATCTGTCTACATGGAGTTTGCATGTTCTCTCCGTGCAGCATGGGTTCTCCAGCTTCCTTCCACACAGTCCAAAAACATGTTGAGGGGGGGCTCCAGCCCCCCTGCGACCCCAGTGAGGATTAAGTATTGTATAAGATAATGGATGATTGTATGGATGCTGTGGCTGTAACTGAGTTCCTGTTATTGATCTTTTGAGTTAGTTTTGATACTTTAGAAGTACATTTCACAAATACTCCAAGACAACTTTTTTGTTTGTTTTTTTTCTTCTGTTTTAAGTTGAGCTGAACAAATAAATGTTAGTCTGTGAAATGTGTCTCACTGAAAAATAGCTTCTAGTGCTGCAAGCCAACTAAGAGCAAGTGAAAACTTGTCTGTAAGACAACTTCATGCAAATGTGTCTTTCTGCCCCTAAACTAGTGACACACATAAAATCATGAGTCGTTAAGTTGCTTTAAGCTGTAGTGCTGCAGATATCTGTAATTCAGTACTTCCTTGTAAAGAATTTACATTTTAGATTTCCATGATATTCGTACCTCAGATTTGGTTCAGGAAGACTTTTGGTTCAAAAAATTTTCAAAATTTTCTGCACATTCAACATATCATTGAAAGCTTTATCTGTGTTCTGGGGTGATTTTCTGGAACTATGAACTATACTGAATAAACATTTTGGATCACAGGATTACTTCCATCCAATAAATCTTGTGGCCGATTGTCTGCCGTACTATGCTGCCTTGCATAAATGTCACACAATAAAAAATACATTTTGTTATCTGAGACCTTAATACCATGTAAATAATAATAATATTAATAACAATAATAACAATAATAATAATCATAATCATAATCATAATGTTTTTTGGACAACATTCTTCCTCTTTGTCATCTAACATATAATCTGACAACCCTGACAACATCCACCAAACATTCTCGATGTTAGCCAACGTCATCAGCGCACCTCCTGCCTGCTGGGGTTATTTTATATGAGCTCAGATAAGATAAAACTTTATTATTCCTGAAGGAAACTCCTTTGCCATATGTTGCTCAGAAAATAGAATTACATAACATGAGAAATGCAGGACTGACAAGAAGTATGATACATTACAGAAAATAGACATAAGTACGCTAAAATAAGACTAAAACAGAAAACAATGTCAATGACTTTAAGGTTCTAAAGTTGAATCACACATAATAAGGACAAATTGCACATTAAATTGAAATATTACACGAGTTAGATTCTAAATTGTCCGTAATTAATTTTATTGTTTATTGATTTGAAGTAGAGCCCTGTGTTTCAGCCATCCTTCCTGCAGAAAGGGGAGTTTGATGGCCACTGGTAGAGAAGATATCTTGTGACGTTCTGTGCTGCCCCTCGGTGGTCTCAGTCTACAGCTGAAGCTGATCTGATGTGACACCAGTGTGACTGCAGGGACTGACAGGTGTTGTCTATATTACTTAGTAGCTTCTTCTGCAGCCTCTTCTCTCACACCTCCTCTGCTGTCAAACTTTACAACCAGTGCTTTTCCCAGTAGACAACCTATGCGTTATGAATATTTTGTACATTCAGAAACTCTTTTCAACATATACAATAAGCTGTGCAACATCAGTACCTTTCTGCTTATGGAATACTTGTGCAATATAGGTAAAATAGGTGCAATATCAGTATTTCTACTCATGGGAGAATCTGTGCAATACCATTTACATGTGCAATATTTTTATTTTCCACACCTAGAGGTATTTATTTTCTGTGCAATATCTGAATATCCATATATTGAAGAATCAATATTACAGCCACAAAAAAGAGAGAATATCCAGTGAGTGATAGTTGTCTGTGCCTTATTGATGCACGAGGTTAGATAAGAGTGGCCAGACTGGTTCAAGATGAGCCAATAGTAACTCAGATAGCCACTTGTTACAACCAAGGTATGCACCTCTGAACGCACAGCACGTCAAACCTTGCAGAAGAAGGGCTGCAGCAGAAGAAGAACACAGCGGGTGACACTAAGGTCAGCTAAGAACAGGAAACTGAGACTACAACTGAAGCGGGCTTACCAAAATAGAACAACAAAAGACTGGAACAATATTGCATGGTCTGATGAGTTTACAGTATTGCTGTGACATTCAGATGGTGTGGTCTGAATTTGGGGTCAACAACATGTCACCACACTAATTTGAGAAGGTATTCATCAGTAAGGAAATAACTGTGTGGGACATTTAGCGCAAACTGTGAGGCTTTGAAAGTAATTTTCCTTCTAAAGGATTCTCAGGCAGCTGTAAGTTATTTCAGTTTTCATGCACAAAAGAGCTGAGAATGGATCCACAGTTGCCATTTAAACTGCGGTGGACTTAAGGAGTAAATACAAAAAGACAATGCAAGTGAAGATGATAATTATAATTGTATATATAAAACGGAAGAAGATATCAAAGGCATTTGGTTGACCAAAAATGACAACTAGGTTCATTCTAAAAATGCAGAAAAACTAGAAAATCTGAAACAAGCTGAAGTCTATATTACTGAGTAGAGTCAAATTTTCAACAATTCACACTGAAGGAGCTCTTTGGGAACCTGCAGGCTTTGCTAAACACCATTTCTATAACAGAGTGCAAAATCAGTATCACACTAAGAGCCACAATGCACACATTAACTGGACTCCAGGTTGAAATAAACCTGAATTCTGCTTTAACAGCTGTTGGCAGTCGACTGCTCCTAATCCAAGAGTATTCTATAAAACTTAGTGTTTCATTTTATGCATCCCTGACCTTGAGAACAATGTAAATGTATGAATGAAACCAAAACAAAAATGAACAATCGCGGGTCCATCCCAGGACAGCAAGCTTGTCAGTGATTGTTTTACCACTTATTATAATTTGTTCTGTTACCAAATTCAGCCAACTGTAAACTGTTATCACTGTGTTTTAAACATTAAATAAGCAACAGCCAAACATGTTCTAGTTTGTGCTCTTTTAAAAAATCCTGTGATGTTTGTGTCAGTTGCTCGACTGAGGAACACAAGACTTGTGGATAACCCTTTGCATGATGAAGAAACAAACCTTTATGACCGCACAGTGAGTCAAAAACGCTTTCCAGGATATAGGTGAACAAGCACATTTATTTCCAGAACTCCAGAGAATTAAATTGCTGGTAAGCCTTAAAAAACAGAAGGGCCAGGCTGCAGTTCACAAAAATATATAAAAAGAAGGTGCTTTTGAAGAGCTTTTCAGGGTGAAGAGGTGAAACATCCTCAACTGGCCAAGTCACAGCCCCCCTGATCTCAACCCAACACTTACAACACCTGTAGGGTGGCTGAATCTATACCAGGCTACTTGCATCTGCAGCAAAACACACGCACATGGCTCACATATGATATTAATTGAAATAAATGTTAGTGAAAATCGATAATTGGTCACCAATAATCAGCATTGGTGTCGGTTCCTGAAAACCTCATATGTACAATCCCTTCTTTGATTAAATCTGTATCAAATCAGTGCATGGCATAGTTTCTTTATTCATGTTTTTATGGAGGGTTTGGGACCATGCAAACACAAAAAACAGCCAATATCGGTTGCTTGATCACCAATAATCAGCATCGATATTGGCCCCTGAAAACCCCATGTGGTTGATCCCCACTTCAATCAAATCAGCATCTCCCTGGTTGAATCAAATCTGTGGGTGCCCTCGCCGCATTTTTTGCGTGTTTATTCACGATTTGGGGCCATACAGTCGAAACGCATGTGCTGTGAACACCGTGGAGGACGTGCCTTCTGCAACCTCCTACCTTCGGATTGGAGTGTGTTTGAAACCGGGTCTTGGGTCACGTGTCTGTGCCACGACTGCAGTGGGTCCCGCCTCCCGGTGATGGACGGCAGTAAACACCGCCCTCTGAACGTCTCATAACAACAGCTGGCAGCGGGGAGAGAGACATCAGGGAGCAGGCAGAGCTCGGACACTCATCCGCCGCCTAGGCTTTTTTTTTCTCTCACGGCGCTCATCACCGCTTTTCCTCCGACACACAAAAAGCACACTTTTTTTTTCTTACTGCGACTTCCACACAGCTGCAGGCGCATGCTCAGACCGACCGACCGTTGATTTATCCAGGAACTCGGGGGTGAGTACAGTAACGCCAGTCACCCAAGGGAAATCTGCCCGTTCACTTTGTGGTGGCTTTTATTTTTATTTTCTGCCCCCTTAAACAGAGCCAGCTAACGCCTTAACTCTCTGTCTGTCCTTCTCACCAATGTCACATTTACAAAAACAGACAGAGAAGAGGCTTAGGAGGCTGTTTTGAGCGGACTGTTAGCTAGCTTTGCGGTTCGGCAAATAACGGGACGTTGTTCGGTAACAACAAGGCAGTCTTGGGGCTGCTAGCTCGTAGAGATACTTAAGCTAGTCTCTAGCTGTTTGGTTTTGCTAAATAAATAAAAAATCAAAGCTAACACTTAAGTGACACCCTAAAAACGAGTGACAGTTAGCGTAGCAACAAACGTCTCTGCCGAGGCTTGACTCGAGAAGACAAAGCCCTGCTGCTCCAAGTTGTGTTTGCTTTTTCATTTTGCTGTGTGCAGGTTGTCTGAAAACTGAGCTGTGGCTCTCTCCCGGCCACAGATCCCTTCAGACCCAACTGGACCGGGTTCACACTGTGTGCTAGAGTGCCATAGATGCTATAGCTACCCTGTAAAACGACTTGCTAGTTGTACTTTCTCCAGCTAGAAAAGATGCCCATATTGGATTTGCATAGCACAAGTGAATTCAGGTTGCATGAAAACAAACACTTTTCTTTGCTCTCCTGTTAAGCTGTGCTCCGGTAACAGTGTTTGGATGCGGTGTTTGTGGCCCTGTTGACAGTTCCTTCTTCTGCCTCAGCATTTGAGTCTCATTTGCATTTGTGCTGGCACCAAGAACAAGAAAGCTGATCTCTGCCTTTCCTTCCTGCAGCCTAGTGTCGGCACGGGAGGAAAAGCACGCGCGCACACACACACACACACACACACACACACACACACACACTTGGCCTTTAAACCTAAAAAACAAAGCCAAAACTAGGCTTGCATTCCACTGAGGTAGAAATTCACAAAACTTTCCACAGAAAAGTCCTCTTTGGCCTCAGATTGTCAGTGTGTGACCCGATACTTTAACTAAACACAGATTTCATCACATTTTAGGTCTGTAAATACAACCTGCTGGTACGACCTACATGTTAAAGTGTGTCGTAGGCTTCTTTTATCTTTTTTTTTTTTTTTTTAAATAACCCCGCTCACCCTACTGGCCCGACCTCCTATACAAGCTTCCACCGCCCTGACATGTTAATGTGTTTGCAGTTTGACAATGCCACAGGTAAATCCCCAATCAACTGATCGTGATTAAATTAGTTAGAATCTATTGTGAAACGCCTTTTGACTATTTACGCACTCACAGTTTCTACAGACTGGAGCTTAGTTTGCTCATCCAGTTAATCTTGTTTCTCCAGTCAAGAACACAGTACAGACTGTGATTAAATTAAACCTTTGATCAGAGATTCATCAGCTAGTTTTAACTGCTTTATGTATTGTTTGTCTGTGTTGCCTCCCTTCTCTCCAGACACTGAACAGTTTTAAAGATGACCACTTCATGGAGTGACAGACTGCAGAACTATGCAGACCTGCCTGCCAACATGGATGGTTTGGCAATGAAAAAGTACAGGAGGGAGCCCTACCACAGGTGAGAAACAGCAATAGAATGTGTTTATGACCAGATGGCATACACCAACATTTTATGGCCTAAATTGTGTTGCTGCTGTGGAAAAAAACAAAAGCTTTTAACTGTTAAATTTATTAAAATAAATTCAGAATACATCATTTTAGACAAGTGGATATAAGCTCAGTCCCAACGTTCAGAAAGATCCGTAAGTCACAAATTTAATTTGGGTGTGTCAGAGAAGTCTAACTCATTTGTGTGCCTCAACAAAAACATGATAAGCATTAACAGTCTCCATGATAAAGCTGTCAAGCAGTGATTGATTACCTGCTGTAAACCTGTACCTGCATAAATTAATATGAGGAACCTTCTTTGTTCCGTCTGCAACAAAACATACACTTAATCCATTGTACTTGTTTCTGTTTGTTCAGGAAAAAATTGAATAGTATGAATACCTGCCTCAGGGAGGGTTTAATGAAGGATTTGCATAGTTATACACAGTTACAACAGGAAAACAGGGTGTCTTTGGGGAAACATTGGTAAACAATTCAAATACTGCCATCAGTAATAACTGACGTGGTGTCTTCTGTGTTGTTACATGTTCTCACCACCACTAAGCAGTTAGAGAAATGGAAAAATGTCACCTTATTTTTCACAAACTACTTAATGTGTAAACATCACTCCCTTTCACAATATTTAATCCATACTGGAGTTGTGTAAGTCTGACTATAGAGGACCAAACAGCCAATGATATTCACTATTTGCTTTACAGAGCCTGAACTAATCATGACATTCACTTTACAGTACGTTGTAAAACTGCCCCAAACCTGGAACTTGCTCTTCATTGTCATCTCGCTTCTTTTTTCGCATCAGGACTGCAGCTAATGATTTTTTTTCTCTGTAAATGAATCTGTTAATTATTTCCTCAAATTATTGATTTGTTGTTTGGTCTGTAAAATGCCAGAAAATGGTGAAGCATATCGATCAGTGTTTCCCAAAGCCTAAGATAGCGTCCTCAAATGTCTTGTTTCGTAAACAGCCCAAAGATATTTTGTTTACTGTCACGGAGGAATAGAGAAAACTGAAAATATTCACAGTAAAGAAGCTGGAATCAAATATATATGTATACATACGTGTGTATGTGTGTGTGTGTGTGTGTGTGTGTGTGTGTGTGTATATATATATATATCTTAAATTCAATGAAATAATTAAATCAACTTCTTAAATCAATTATCAAAAAAAGCTGGAGATTATCACGGTTGATACCTAGTGATTTAATCAACTGTCTAACTGTTATTGCAACAGAGTGACTGAACAGTGAGATAACTTGACTGCAAGAGTAGAACATATTTTTGGTGACATTTACTAGCTCTTAATTAAACAGTAGCAACCGAATGGCATAGACAGTTTCCTCTCCCAGACTTTTTACTATTAAGAGCTTCTGTTATTTTGCACATCACTTGAGATTGAATCGAGACCTAAAGCAGGTTCTCACATACAGGTATAATGCGTCTCGGGTGTGGTTTTCTAACTGCTATGCAAAATAACTCTCCGTGTCATAGCAGATGTCAGCAGACTGAGGTCCATGGAATGAATGCAGGAACCCTGTTCAAATCCAGCATGATATGCATGTATTAGCTTTCATTTTAGTTTAAAGAGATTTTATTCCTAAGTTTTGTTTTTTTAGTAACTCCTAACATTGATAGACATTATTGTTTCTGTACCTGCTGGTAGGAAATGCCCTGGAGTCATACCAACTAAAAGGCTCATGTAAGGAGGAGTTTATTCCTTGTGAGAGTCATAAAATGTGTTTTGCTGTTCAATGTTTAACTCTATGGTATGTGTGCAATGGGTACTGCAGTTCTTCCACGGCATTATGTAATACACAGTTCTCACAGGGTTTATGAAACCATCACTCATCTGTTAGCTCTGTATGTGCTGTCAGGACGTACAGTAAGTCACCCGGCCTGTGACCTCCCCCTCCCCGTCCACACGGTCACATGCAAAACAACCACACATGCGATGCAAAGCAAAATGGAGTTCACTAAAACAATGGCATTCGTGGGAGAGCTTCAGTTAACCCATTTGTGCCGTGAAGGTGACCTTTTGTTTATCTCACAGACAGACAAAGACCAATCAAAGTAAGCGCTCGGCTGAAACAATGTGACCTGTATATCACATCGCAGGGGGGCTGATGACTCCGGCTGGCACAGATAAACTTTCCTTCACACGGAGTCGAATCACTGTCTGCATGAGATTAGAGAGCAGCGGAAAAAATCTGGCAGATTGTTGCTCAGCTGCGCTCAGATGAAGTAGAAGTTATTAAGGGATTCTCTTGTAGGTGCGGTGTGGCCTATGTGAGCTATTTGAGGCGATACTGTTGTCAGCAGGACCAAAGTCGAGGCTGACTACAGTAATCAAGTCACCCCCACCCTTTGTCAATACGGATGAGCTTAGTAGAGGCACAAGTTATCATTTACGCCTGTCATTTACTACACCTCCCAGAGGGATCCAGCAAGCTGGGTACATTAGAAAGGACAGCAGCCCAGCAAAAATAGAAAAGATTTAAATCCCTCACTAGGAACCGCTCATGCCCGCTCAGAGCTAAGAAATGTTGACAGTGAAGAAGTACGTTTGTTGTGGTTGTTCAGGAGCACCAAAGCTTTTGACAAGTGAATAATCTGTGGAAGCAAAATGAGGCCAGAACAAGCTAAGAGGTTGTACTGAATACCTACCTAAATAACCAGTGACATATATATGGTACTACCACTAAGATATGTCCTTATTCAAATTTTCAAATAAACCTTTTTATTTATGTTTTTAACAAATTAAAAGGACATGTTAAAGTTGCTCACCTGATCTTGCGATTCTTGATTTATACAAAGGCTCTATTTTAATTCATCGGTTGCCTGAATCTTTAAGTTTAAAATATTCCTCTGAAATTTAATCACCAGGCAAGACTCGGAGTCTTAGATGTAAGCATAACTGAGTAATAACCACTTGAACATAAGTTTTCAAGACATTTGAATTTGTGAATCTTAAAAAACGCCAAATATTTTTGTACTGTGATTGTGAATGTGTTTCATTTCAATGCATAGAACCCAAAGATAATTTAGCAGTGAGCAATCAAATATTCAATATCCTCTCTATCCTTCCACCAAATACATATATTTGTAATAAAAGATTAAATTAAAACATGTACTAACCCTGTGATTCATCCATCAAGGTAAAAAGTAACCCTCTACTTCTAGTTAAAGCTAACACAAATTGATTGATTGATTGATTGACAAATTCAGCAGCTGTTTTAATAAGGAATGAATCAAATAATGCCCCAAATTCCCAGTTTCAAGCCTGCCAGATGTAAGTATTTGCTTTTTGTAGTCGTCCATGGCAGTAAGCTTAATATCTTTGGAGTTTTGGATTATTAGTTGGACATAACAAGATATTTAAAATCTTCATTTTCTGTATAAAATGGTGATGGACGTTTTTCACTCATTTCTGGCTTTGTGGGGGCAAAATGATGAATCAAGAAAATAACTTGTAGATGAAGCCCTGCTGGTAGTGTTTATATTAAACTTGATCTAAGTAATGTAAGCAGCTGTCGCTCGAGGCTCTTGCTTGCTTGATTCTACCTGACTTGTGATTGTTCTGGATGTCTTTGAGGGCCCACAAACATCATGCTGCACAACAACAACTGCAACTGACAACAGAGAATGACGCGGAACGGCCACAATCATTTTTGCAACAAGTCAGAAAAATTTCTGAATGGCAAGAAAGCAGAGAGAGAGGGGGAGGGGGGGACATTGTTTGTGGGCCACAGCTGCCCCATGTTGCTGGAGCAGGTCAAACCCATCGGAGAGTCAAACTGAGGTTTAATTTCGCACAGAATGCATTGCCAGTCGTATCCTGGACTAAGCTCTAAATGGGAACTAGTTCACTATGGATCTGCTGCCAGGTATTTCATTAGTGATTTAAAGATTTCGTGAAGATTAAATCACTGTCACAGAATAATGATGATAAGTTGCCTTGCAGATTCAATCAGTTTTGAGTGTGTGTGTGTGTGTGTGTGTGTGTCAGATTAACCCCGTTTATATTTCAGCGTGCCTTGTAGGGTGATTCACATCTTACTTCTAGGATGAGTAAATATTGACTTGTGTGGAAACACCTAGGAATCAGTTATACATTTAACTCAGTCACAGCTGTTGAAGATAAATTTGGTCTGTGCCAGCAGTGTTCTGTCAGCCAGGCTATGTAAACATTATCTATCACGGTGGCTACTTTATGTTCCAGTATTTTCAAATGTTATCATTAGCGGTGCTATTTACCATGTTTTGTTTTGTCATTTTTCTTTTGCTGAAAATAGGTTTGACAGCCATTGAGCAATACCATACAAAATTTAACAAATCTTTTAAAATAATTTGCTGGCAGGTAGAAATGTCTTAAGATGTGCTTGACTAGTTCACAAGCACTCTGCAACTTCCAGTTACTGATGAATCTGTGGAAAGACGGTCACCATGGAACACTATTTTGGAGTTATAATAAGAATATGCAGTTAAGAAAGGGCACTTTATGTAATTTCCAAAAAATGTACTGGACAGTTCAGTTCTAATTTAGTTTCAACAAGCTGACCATAGCAAGATATTTGTCTGCACAGGCCAGTGTTTGCTTTTATTTTTATATCGAGTAGTTCTCTGAAATGACTTCAGGAGCTTTTCTCAAATCCTTGTCTTAAGCTGCCTCTTGGTTCCTCAGGCTGTTGTCGTTTCTTTAACTGGGACTATGGTTAACTGCTCTTTCTTTCTTTCTTTGGTGGCTGCAGTTTAGTTTGCTGGAATGCAACAGTGAAAGCGTTTTTCTAGTCTAATTGCTTAAATTGTTAATCCCAAAATTTTTGTTAAGACTAACATGTGTGCTACCAATACTAAACTACCAATTTGATATGAGTGATGTGACATCAGTATGTTCTTATATAAAACATGTTTTCATTTCTTGTCATGACATCTATGTTTGCCCTTGCTGGGGTCACATGGACTCAACTTGTTATTACATTTTCTGCAGCAGTCTGACAGCGTGTAGCCAAACAAGCCATTTAACACCGCCGTCTTTTGACTGTAACAAAAAACTGACGTGCCAACGTCAATTAATTTTTGATGAAAGCACATAATGTCAGCCGAGAAATCCACAGTTATGAATGCAAATGACACAGCTTGAAGCCTGCTGATGTCATGGTAACACACTTTTTACAAAATTATAAATGACCTATGTGTAGTCTGAACTCAGTAAAAATAGTCCTGTTATTATTGTTAGCAGTAACACTTGACTGTATATGGTTTTTGTGTTTATCAGGGGAGACATTCTTGTGCATTTTTCTCTCATGCCAACTGAATAGGCCCACCCTGTTCAGTATGGTACACAGCTCAAGCAAACATTTTTCTCCTGAGAATAGTTTCTGCTCTTGTGAATGCTAATCCAGTTGATAATTGCATTGCAACTAAAATATTTACCTCATCTTATTTTCTACAGAGTCTTTGTCAACAGAAGCCTGGCAATGGAGAAGATTAAGTGCTTTGGCTTTGATATGGATTACACTTTAGCAGGTAAGATGAATGCACCAATACACATTCAACTTAATAGTACTGAAACTAAACAAGATATTACAGTGCAATTTGGATCATCATTTATTAATGAAATAGTTGATCAAGGAATTATTGCTAAATATTTTCTGGTTAAAATTTCTTCAGTTTGAGGATTTAGATGTTTTCTGTCTTTTTAAAGATCTTTTTATTCATAATTAATTGTGTTTTAGGGCTATCTGATGTCCGATTTTCCATTTTTTGACAGATTATTTTAATGGGTTAAACAACATTTTTTTTTTTAGATTCAAAAGACAGTTGATGCATCCATTAGTAATTAAAACGATTATTTCCAGCAATATGCAATTATATTATCACTCTTAGAGGTTTGGTGTACAGGCCAAGTTGGCTCTGCACAGCAGCTCCTCAGTTTACATGGACTGCCAGTGCTGTTGCGATGTCAGTATTACAGACTTGTCAATGTGAGCCACTCGATGAATCTGGACTAATAAAAGATGTTATAACTGTATGTATACACCTTTTTCAATTTTGAAAAATGAGTGCTTAGTTACTGAATCTCTCCGCACCTTTATGTTTGGTGTAGATTTAAAGTCTACAGTATCCCTTCATTTAAACTCTATATTTGGCTACCCTACCATCCCCCATGAACTGCAGCTTGTTGTCCATAAAATATTATTTAGGTCAATGCCAATGACACTTTGAGCACACCATAATGCTCAGATTACAAAAGTTTCAGCATAGCTGCCTGGTACACCAAGTCAGTTGCGTGAATATGTTATTTTTCCTACTGACCAGTAACCAGGCCAAAAATATCCTGATTTTTCATGCCACTTTGTCCTGTGACTCAGCTCCAGTTTTTGGTCTCTCCACATCTATAAATAACTCTTTTCGGACTTTGAAAAGCGGGTCACGTTTGTTTGTTGAGTTCACCAGTGATGGCTCCCCTGAGAACGGGAATCATTCGTGGTTCCTCCATGGCTCTGTACCCCTGATCCCTGTTCAGAATGCAGGAGGTTGTACAGACACTCAGCTGTTGACATGACTCTCTTTATGGGAGCTCATAACCAAGTGTTAATGTTTGCTAGAAGCGCGGCTATCATGTATCTTTGGAGAGAGTTCAGGTTTTAACCACAGAAGTGCTTCATCAGTTTGAATAAATGCCTGCTGCTTAAGTGCAACACCCTGGTTGATTGCAGCGTTTGTTTTGTGGGGGTGTTGCATGTTTCAAGTAGAAAGACAGGGTTTTCCTTAGGACATACTTTCTGGGCAGGTAGGCTTGATGACATTATTAGTTGCTTGCAGAGCTTATACAGAGTATGAACATGTGTAGAAAGCCAATTTGATGACTTTTTATATATGAGGTGCAAGTATGTCATGGTTTCTGATTGTCTGACATGAGTCGATTAAGCCATACAGTAAATAGATTTATCGCAAACATAATCCCTGTCAACAGTTGTCAGGCAATACTCATGTTGGCTTAGCCTATATTAGACTGTGCAATCAATACTAATGCTCTAATATAAAAATCATACTGCATGTGGCAGTTCAGCTAATGGATGTATAAGCCAAAAATACTCACAATTTCTGTTAATGAAAGTTTACCTTGATATTTCCTTTGATAAGTGATCTTGATAAAAGCGCGAATAATGTACTCTAATGTGTCCTGCTACGGGAAGATATTTAACATCTTATTGCCAGTGTATCCCGGCATATTATTCGTTACTTTGGGGAAATGTAATGTTGCACATCGTACTATTTATACTAAAGTATACTGAGCTATTCATTGAAACACTTTTTCACCTTGGTAACGTGTCAAAATCCATTTTTTTATCCTATTGTTTTACAAAAATAAACTCAAGAAAAGGCTGAAAATATTGTGATCATAGGGACATGTTCAATCAAGGTGTGTCCTGTAGTTAGCATTGCAGGTGTCTACAAACTTGTAATCAGTCAGTTGGCCTATTTATAGGGTTACAAGTAGTCACTGTGCTGTTTGGTGACATAGTGTTTACCACACTAAGCATGAAACAGAGGAAGCGAAGGAGAGAGTTGTCTCAGGAGATTAGAAAGAAAATTATCGACAAGCATGTTAAGGTAAAGCCTTTAAGACCATCTCCAAGCAGCTTGATGTTCCTGTGACTACAGTTGCACATATTATTCAGAAATTTGAGATCCATGGGACTGCTGCCAATTGATGCCAAATCAAAGAGACGGATAATACGAATGAAAACAAAAGAGCCCAGAACAACCTCTAAAAGACATTAAAGGTGAACTCCAAGGTCAAGGTACATCAATGTCAGATCGCACCATCCATCGTTGTTTGAGCCAAAGTGGACTTCATGGGAGACGACCAAGGAGGACACCATTGTTGAAAACAAATCATAAAAAGCCAGACTGGATTTTGGCAAACTGCATGTTGACAAGTCACAAAGCTTCTGGGAGAATGTCCTATGGATAGACGACAGAAAACTGAAACTTTTTGGCAAGGCACATCAGCTCCATGTTCACAGACGCAAAAATGAAGCATATCAAGAAAAGAACACTGTCCCTACTGTGAAACATGGAGGAACATGACATTATCTACTTTTTTGTAAAAGATAGACTAGTGTATCGTATGCTAAAAGAGATAAGAAAGAATGCACTAATCACCTTTTCTTAGCATTTAGAGAATCCCACTAGCTCCTATAATGGCTCTCACTTCTGGGTGATTTCACTCACTGAGGAACCTTCCTGAGCAAAAAAAAAAAAAGACTATTTGACTGCAGCCTTTGATCCAGATGTTAATGAATTCTGATTAATACTTCGAAGTCCTAAGACAAAGAAACCTTTGGTACGTATTTATCATGAAGCAGGTGTGTAGGAGTAGGACAAGCATCCAGAAGTTTCGAACACACTCCCACACACCGTCTAACTTGCAAAAATATATTGTTTAGTGGCATGTCGGCATCAGACCTTAATCTGACAAATCTGACAAATTTTATCTGATAGAGGTCTAGCACTGAAGCCTTGCTAATAAGTCTAATTTTGCACATGACATTGTGTGGGAGAACCTAATTGAAGTTCTGAACATCACCTGTTGCAAAACAAGAATACAGCAGTCTCATTTAAAATAACTAAACTGGCTGTAACATGTGACCGAGTATTTTGTGTTATGTTTATGTTCATGTGAGTTTCTGTAGCTCTTAATAAGAAACTGCTTAAAATACCTCAGTGTTTCAGATTATTGTGGGCAATGTGATGGTGTCCGCTGATATGTGAGGTATTTATAATCTGCACTGGCAACACAGAGATTTCTGTTTGTGTAATTTACTACATAGCAAGATATATGGCATTTTAAAACACCATTTTAGAGGATTTCTTCTATGTTGCTTGCCTATATTGTTCAGTCATTTTTGCAGTCATGTTTTTTTTTTTTTTGCCGTTTGCCATTTTGCTCAGTACAGGGATCTGTAAAGGTCAAAGTTTTTCTTTTGTTGATCCTTAGTGCCTTACAACTAGCAAATCTCATACATTTTGAATTATTTTGTAAGACTTTGTGAACTAAATCAACATTGTATTAGAAAACATTGCTTCATCTGTTCTTTTGTTCATAAAGGGAACACATAATAGCCTGCAGAAAATGTTGCTCAAACACATCTAGGCCCAGACTGTATTGAGAGATATGCACAGTTTTGTCCTAGTTTTTCAACAGACTTTTGGCTAGAATGTGTGTCCCTGAGGCTGCATTTAAGTTTTCTCATTTTTCCACAATATGCCTGAGCGTGTCATAAATCTGTGACGAAGGCCTACATTTGCCCGTTAGTGGCCACAGATAAATTAAGACAGTTAAATGACTGACCTCTAATGTAGATTGCTATGTGACATTGTTCAGATAAAGCCTCTGTGTGAGTAATGTTTATGAGATTTGGATTTAGTGATCTATTCGTAGAGGGGTGTGGGATGCTTAATTTGTATGAGAGTGGGTGTTTGTTACACGTAGGAATGAGGTGACCGGCCTGATAAACTTTGGAAAGATGCCACACTGCTCAGCAATTGGAGCAATAGGAGTATAATTATCTGGTTACAATCCCTGTGGAGATACAAGGAAACAGATCACTGCAGCTGAAGCTGCTTCTCACCTTCGTTCTAAGTAAACGGTGTTATGTGTGCGGGGGTTTACATGAGCGTAATGATGGCATGAGAAATGTTAGAAGGGGTTTACAGCAGGGGAAGAAGAACCCCTAAAGAGCAGATAGAGTCAGGGACACAGCAAGCAACGATGACACAACTTCCTATCTGCACCCACATGCTGAAAACAATTCTCAGCCTGTTGTTGCTATTTTCCTGGATGCCTCATTTACTATAACTTGCAACTTTCTGTCAACATAGCCTCAAGCGTGGTCGTCATGGTTAACAGCTCTTCAAAATCTCACCACAATCCAGCCTTCAGACATCTGAAATAGTGAGAGGCATCTAGAATTACTTGTAAAAAAAAATATACTGCAGGCCGCGGGTGTCGTGTGTCTGTGTGGGGTTTTTAAGGAGGGCTTGTTTTTTAAATTGTTCAAAAGTAAAATGGCTTCAGTGTCGTTACAAAACAACAACAGAAAACAGCAGGTAAAGGAGTTTGCACTTTTCAGATCAAAACAGACCCCCAGACTCCTGATTAAGAAGATTAGCTTTAAGGTTTTAAGCTCATAATAAATAATAAATCTAGATGTTTTTTTTCTAAAATTTTGTGTTTACTTATTTAGAAATGAACGTTTAATTTATTCAAAAAGTCCTTTAAGGTTTGAGGATATGATTTCAGGGGCCTTAGCATAATAATAATAATAATATAACATATGGTATTTTTTTTACCAAACTCTACTCTGACTGGTACACTTGTTAGAATATGTACACTACTTTAATATTCTTTATTTTTATAGATACCATATATTAACATTCCAGAAAAGTACTACAATTTTTAAACCTCATTTTGAGGAGCTTTAACCTTTGAACCCCAAAACCTGCCAGTGAGTTTGAAAGGCACATTGTCTTTTAAAAAGTTGCTAAACATCACACCATTTATTAGGGCCAGAAACTGTAAAGACATAAAGAATGTTCAGATTTTAAACTTTCTGACGGTCCTTTAACTACTCATCTGTGACCTGCCATACTGTTGTTAAACCGAATCTAAGCTTAAAATAACAGCATTTATTCTTCAAAATCCCTTTATTCTATATCTCTTAATCAAAAAGCTGCAACGAAATTGTTTGTGCTCACCAAATTCTGTAATAAAAACAAAAAAACAAAATCTACATTCCTTGACCTAACTGAAGTCATGAGTGACTCAGCGGTGACCAACAGTCACATGACAAAAATTCTGAGACTTTTCAGCTGAACTGCAGGCTGTGTTTACACATAACAGATACTTATGGAAACAAGTTATACATGTAAGTAGCAAAATATCTATGGCGTGGAGAGGTAAATAGTTATTCCAGTATTGCTAACACCTGCTGGCACTCGAAAAATGTTGTACATTTTGATTCCTGAAACTGCTTGGTGTCAGGAGGGTTAATGGCATTTTCTTTGCTTTTGTTCGGTTCTATTCAGGTAGTGAGGTATACTACAGTAGCACCTGATTAGTAGCCGGTGCTTTAACCGTGGCATAGGCTTCACACTAGTCGTGTATTAATCATTATGTAACAAAACAACTTCCTGTTTCTAGATGACCTGCCTGACTAGCTTTTTATATAACCTAGATTGAGATGTGATTTTATACCTCCTAAGTTATGTGAGGGGGGAGTATCACCCTCAAGTCCCAAGGACATGTAAAGAGAGCCTCACACTGAACTAAAGGAAGAGAGAGTGATGATAGCAAAGGTGGCAGAGGGGAAACAGCTCTCAAAATAGGTTTCTTTGTAGCGCCTCAGAGTAGGGCTTTCAGGAAGAATATGAAAAACAAGCGAGGAGTAGGGGGAAAGGCATTTTAGCTGGTGTACGGTACTGCTCTGGGCAGAGGGCCCATACCCTCAGTTTGCTGGGAGACCACAGCGGGGGGTGAACCTCAAGAGGTTACGTGATTATAATGTAGAAGCAGGCCTATTGCTTACTGAGTAGGGGGTGTCAACAAAAGGACAAAGCTTTACAGAACCCAAGAGTTTCCTGTAACTCAGTGCATGCTCATTATGTGTCTAACCCAGCATCGGACACAACTGCACACACACACATTTTGCAGAGTAGGACACAGATGTTTTCCTGTTTGTCCTGCAGTGCTGTTCCCTCAGCTAACTGTCCTCGAAGTATCATCAGCCAATATATCTTCCCCTCCAGGGGCCTCCCACCACCCCACTGGGAGCATAGAAAGCAGGCAATAACACAAGTGCATTCTCTGTTTCGTATTTATAGCATCTGACATATTCTTTTCCCAGTGTCAGATAGCATTTTAATCCTCTGCCAGCCTTTTCTTAGCCTAGCATCAGTCTGTGTCTTCATTTCCAGAACCCTCTCTGGCCTCACTTTTAGCTTGGCCTGGGGTAAACATCCAGCGCTGGCGGTGACAGCGTGGGGGCTCGTCAGTCTCAGCAGGCCTCATTAGAGCCGCTGCTGAAAGTTGAGCGATTTTTCATTTTGATGTCTGGTCCTCTCGCTTTGTGGATTTGTGTGCAAGAACATCCTGGCCCTTGCTGGTAGCAAGGGTAGAGAGAAGGGCAATGGGTGTGTGGGAGGGGAGGGTTCACTGAGGAGTGAGAACATGTTGTTATGAAAATACTGAGACAAGACATACGTCTCAAGTTGACGAGGTAGCCTCAGAAAAGTCACATGTATGTGTTGCGCAACTTGAGTTTGTTCAACAAACTGTATGTCACCTTTAATGATTGTTTGCTGCGTAATGACCCACAGGCCACGTTCCTTGAGTGTATACATACACATGCAAGTGTTTATGTAAAATCTGCACTGTCAGATACCATAGTAGTAGCTGATTACTGTCAGTACACATAAGGTTATTATCTTCCACTGGGAATGTGTCAATGTGCACTCATTGATCTTACCTTTTATAAAGGTAGTTTAGACTTTTACCACAGTCAGCAATCTTGTGTAGTTTGTCATGTTGCCACTTATTCCTTTGATTAATTGTTTTTATATATATAAAAAAAAATGTCCCCAAGTTATCGGAGCCATATTCTGTCTAAAAAACATTTTATTAATATTTTACTGTATTGTTTATTTTTTAGCTTCATTGATACTATTTCGCTAAAATGTTGATTACAAGTTACTAGCACTGGAATCAGACCTGTATTGGATTTTATACAGTAAGAAATTCTGCTAAATAATGGAAAACTATGAGGTCATTGTTTATTAGCTCTTCAGCAATGTAACTTGTTAATAACTTGGTATGAAGACAAAGCTTGACTCCACACACCACTGTCTGCTCAGCTGTGACATATATTTTGGTACATGTGCTGCAGACAGTGCTGATAGTATTGTAGACAGTTGTTTCAGAGCTGCTTTGCTGCACACACTATTTGATGACAGCTTCTAAATTACACCACAGCATATTATGTTCTGTGAAAGAAAGTATTTGTCAATGTATATGTAGTAAAACATATGCATGTATGTGAGAGCCTGATGTAAACTTCATCATCAGATGCAGGGCTCTGTGCAGACCGCCACCTACCCTTCATTTATTTGTGGCAGGACACACAATCCAAGCAGCAATTTTGCTACAAAGAGTACAAGAATAGAAAAATACAGACTTCACAGTATTATTGAAAGCAGCAGATCCTCACATTTTAGAGAATAGAAATGTATTGTGGTTTTATTTGGCATATATTGATGCATTTTCTGTCAATCAGCTAGTCAGTTCACACCTTCATCAATTGCGCTGTGTAGAAGTTTGGATAATGAACAAACATTTGGCATTTTTAAGCTAAGGCAAAAATGTTAGGAATTTTATGTAAATGTCTTTTTAAATGTCAGCAGGCTCACATGCAAACTGGCACTATGAGTTTTCTGATTGTGCAGTTGGTGCCATTTAGTAAATTATATGTCTGTGTGTGTGTTTAATTTCTAGTGTACAAATCACCTGAGTACGAGTCATTAGGCTTTGAGCTAACAGTGGAGCGGCTGGTTTCCATCGGTTACCCCCAGGAGCTGCTCAGCTTCGTCTACGACCCATCATTTCCCACCAGGTCAGACCACTCACATCCCAGTGCACAGGCAACATAACGGTGACAATGGATGTTGGGTTAAAGGCAAACTACTGCTTCTGTTACCTCATCTTTTATCTTTTTAGTCTCTTTAACCTTTTGGCCTCCATTTGCCTTTTTCCATAGATATGAAATTATTATTACCATAGATATAAAACAGAGGAACAGGGGGAACAAGCCCATCACCTGTCCAAAGTTCAGCTCCACTCTAGTATTTATGTGGCAGTAAAGAGATAATAACACTAATTGCAGCACAACTAATGGCAGTTAAAGTGCCAGATGATATGATTATGAGATAAGTTAGAAAGGGTAATTTATTTTTAAATTTATACAATCATTTCTTTCTTGCTGCTTTCAGGGGCCTTGTGTTTGATACCATGTATGGAAACCTGCTAAAGGTTGATGCTTATGGCAATATCCTGGTCTGTGTCCATGGATTCAACTTCCTTCGAGGGTGAGCATATTCCTGAAATCTCCCTGCACAATGCATACAACATACAAGTGAGCACAGGGAAGAAAGAACAATTGTTTGTTTGTTTTTTTTTCTCTTGTGCTCCCTCCCTTTTCCCAGCCCTGAGATCCGTGAACGGTACCCCAACAAGTTCATCCAGAGGGATGACACAGAGCGTTTTTATATCCTTAACACACTCTTCAACCTGCCAGGTAAGGTCTGTGAACATTAAGGAGAAGACGGTGAGACTGTTAAAGAGAATTTACGCAAATAAAGTTTTATAAATATGATGATTATTTTGATTGAGTCATCTTGTGACTGACAACAACTCCCTGTAATCCCGATTTTCCTCACAGAGACCTACCTCTTTGCCTGCTTAGTGGATTTCTTCTCCAACTGTGACAGATACACAAGGTAAGAAAATCTTTGTTACTCTATATGTCATGTAACAAGTTTCTGGGTGCCGCATGATGACACAAAGACAGTTGCAAGCCACAACGGGTCAAGAGCAAGCCCTAAAGCATGGGAGGGTCCAGGTGTCTCAACTGCTAATCTCAGCTAATTCCTTTAAAATGGTAATGAAAGGGGAGTTCAGTCAAAGAACGCTTCTTTTCTATTACAATTACCGTATTTGTTAATTACTTCTACCAATTGTGAAGAGGCATGGATTCTTATCACTTAAGATAGGAATGAAAAAAATTTTTTTTTTTACTAACTAATTACAGAGAATGAAATCTTGATATAACAGCAAGATAATCTTCTAAATGTAACTGTAATGAGATTTAATGGCCTGTAAGTTTTTTTTTTTGAGAATGTAATCTGGAATGGCTGCATGTCCTTTGTCCTCTGAAACCTGGTTGTTGGTCTTTTAGGGGGAGAATGCTTTCCTGTTTGGCTGGGGACCCCTCCAACAAGGGAAGGCTATCCCATTTAAAAGCAAACAAAAAACAAATGTCATGTTTTTGAAAACCTTCTGTAAAGATGTGGCCTGTGCGACGGCTGTGTACGTGTGTGTCTTTGCTCCCCTTCAGCTGTGAAACTGGCTTCAAAGATGGTGACCTCTTCATGTCCTATAAGAGCATGTTTCAGGACGTTCGGGACGCCGTCGACTGGGTCCACTTCAAGGTAAAACACATACCACTGTTGTGAACTCATTGCTGGTGCCTCAGTCCTGCCTTAAGCACGCAAATAAATGTCTTGGAAATTTTATTTTGAAAGGTTATTAATAGGCAAAGAATCAGTTATTTTAGTAAACGTGTACTCAGTACATGTATTTGCACATTGTATCATCCACATTAAGGCACAACAATAACTTCTTTTGTCCTCTCAAATTAAATTACACTGCATAATAGTAACTTCTTTCATAATATCTTTTCTAAACTAAGAAAAAAGGATTTACTATGGATTTCGCACGGTGAAAGGACCTTTGTTCTGCCTTTCAGTCTCTTCTGCGCCAATAAAGAAATAGAAATAATGTCTTGTTTTCAGTTAAAATCAGTGAGCCATGCTTTCAAACAAGTTGGAGGTAGAAGAGAAACTGGTTGATTGATCTGTTCCATGTTTATCCAAATGTACCCCTAGAAATAGAGGTTGACTGCAATGTTTTACCAAGGACAATTATTAGTAATCAAGGAGAACAATAACCAATATTTACAACTGACATACTTTGAATTATATATCACAATCATGGTGTCAAAACTTCCTGTGTTGCGTAACAATGCTGAGCAATACAGATGTTTTAAAATGTATTTTAGCTGGAATCAGTTTCAGATAAACAACAATATCTATATTTTGAAAAATGCGCAATATGGATTTTGATAGTTGCCCACGCTGAAAATCAGTCAACACCTAATGTAAATGCACTGAGTGATGGTTTAGCTGTCAAGTATGAATGATTTCTTTCTAGATCATCATTTTTTTCCGGTGTTTAACAGTAATACAAAGAGAAATTCTCTGAAGAATCGCCTCAGTAAAACAAAATGCAGTGCATGACAAAGTGTGGCAGAAGGAGGTTTTATTTTACTTTATGCCGGTTGAGAAAGCATCTTGCTTTGCTGTCGCTGCTGTCAGCATCACCGCTCTTTCCACTCACACAGCCTGCATAAAGCACAGCTAAACAGGACGAGATCCCAAGTGTTTTGTGGGAATTATCACTGATTACTGTACCGTACTGAACTGAATATGTTATGACGCTTATGAAATTATCCATGCACTCAAAAATGTCTCTTAGATGTTTAATCTTCACCGTACAGAATGATATGTGCTCAAAATTTCAAATTCTTCTGCTGAAAGTAGGATGTTTCTCTGCGCTCAATGCACGTGTGAACAGGATTACTGATATCCCAACTTGTTTAGATGCCAGCTGGCAAGATACACAAGTGTGACGTGGAAACCTAAAGCCTGGATTGCACATATAATGAGCAGAGACTTTCCAGCGATGTAGTGGGTGTCTTACATCCAGTATTCAAACTGTTGAGATGAAAAGTCTAAGAGAAAATAGTCTGTGTTTTTAAATAAGGATGCAGGTGTAGATGTCTACAGTTTTGTAACCAGGAAATTTAGTTTTTTCTATGGAAAACTCATATCAGACAACGTTATTATTTTAAGCGGAGTACTTTTATATGTTGCCAAGCATACTTAGAAGGAATATTTAAGGAGAAGATACTTGTGCAAGCGGTGTTTGTCATTATTAGCTATATTTTCAGTGTTCATTCTGACTCTTGTGTTTCACATTGCAGGGTACTCTGAAGGAGAAGACTGTTGAGAACCTGGAGAAGTATGTAGTGAAAGATGTAAGTAGTTTGTATTCATCAAGGTTTCTGCAAGTTTACTGTGGCAAAGAACACACACACAGACACAGCGCCTCTCACACTCTTGTCCTTTGTGAAGAGGCCGTTTGTATAGATGCTTAGAGCTTCAGTCTTTTTCATTCTTTTCTTCTTGTCTGTTCCCACCAGGGAAAGCTGCCTCTTCTCCTCAGCCGCATGAATGAGGTAGCCAAGGTTTTCTTGGCTACCAACAGCGATTACAAATACACTGACGTGAGTATGTGAGTGTTGTTGTGGTCCAACCTTTGCTGTTGTGGGGAAAACTGTAATAAGGACATTTAAAAATTACAGCTGTATGACAGATGTGGCTGAATTAAGTCTTTCTCAGAATGTCGAAACAGTTCTTAAGTCTTTATCTTGTTCTCACAGAAAATCATGACCTATCTGTTTGACTTCCCCCATGGCCCAAAGGTAAAATCAACTTTTTCCCCGTCTCTTTGATCATACTTTGAAATGCGTTCAATCATCAGCCATAGGTGACAGACATGTTTCTATGTGCGTGTGTAACCGTCTTGCTGTGTGTGTGTTTGTATCCACCACAGCCTGGAACCTCCCACCGACCCTGGAAGTCCTACTTTGATCTGATCCTGGTGGATGCCAGGAAACCGCTGTTCTTCGGGGAGGGTACGGTGCTCAGACAAGTTGACACGGTGAGCAGACACAGAGAACACAGCTATGGCACAGAAGACATTACTAACAGCTGCACTGCATGTAAACGCTGGCTGACGTATCCAGACATGTTGGAGTTCAGTTGCATGAAGGAGCCCACCTACTCTGCAATACTAAAAACAGCACTATGCCTCATTTTGTTAGTACTTATACATTAAGGATGACAGTATTTCAATAGAAGCAGTATTTCCTTTGAGTTTCCTTGATGTGTGACAGCAGGGCAGTGTGTGTGTGCAGCATTCTGTTTCCACTCCCTGCAGGCACTGTAGATGTGCCAAAGATATTTTTTCCCTCATGAGCACACTACAGCTTTCATGGTGACAAAACAAGGTGCATTGTTGCAAATTAGGGGTGGACAGTCTGGCCAGAAGATCATTTGATAATGTTTGGAAATAGAATCACGATCCTTGACCTGAATCACAGTTCTCCTTACAGTTTTGGTTGAACTCATGTGATCATGTAATTACCAGTGCATATGATCAGCTGGATACAAAGCCTGCCACTTCAGATCACTTCAGCTCCAGCTCACAAATTCCTGCATCCTGTTTTCTCCAGAAAGTGATGATTTGTATCTCTGTCGGTTTGATGCTTCTTTCAAGATGTTGGTCCACTTACTGCTATAAAAGATTGTTTTAAACCTATCCAGACCAAGGGAGCCAGCATGCCCAACTTGGCAAATTATCAAAAAAAAATGCTGAATTGTTCTAAAGATTCAAAGAATGATGGGGCAGTTAATGTGATCTAATTACATTATGCCCATGTGCTCAAATAGAAGTCAAACAAGTGTCATTTATTTTGTGACAACCAAACTTTTTTTTACGATTCGAGTGTAACTGTTTAATTTGGCTTTATCTTTTTAACTTACCAATGTGGCAAACATCACTATGCTGGTAACTTCAGGTGTTCAAAATTGCGCAGTTCAACAACAGCAGTTATAAATGATTAACAAAATTCTTGCAGAAAGTGTGATTTAAAATGTGAGCTACAGTACTATTCTACTCACCTTCTACAAGGATTTCACCTTTTACACAGCTTCTTTTTACATCCTCCATTGCCTTGCATTGACATTGTTACATTTTTTTCAGTTTCTTTAATTTAAAAAAAAAAAAAAAACAAGAAAAAACTGAAACTTGTGGTATGCCGCTGTGATTTTGCCATTGTTCCCCTCACCAATCTGATAATTTCCTTCATTTCAGACAACAGGACGTCTTAAGATAGGAACCTACACAGGACCTCTGCAACATGGGATAGTCTACTCTGGAGGTAAAGACCTAATTTTCCTACAAATGTTCCTTTTTTGACCTAATGTTTTGTTGTTTCTACTTCTTGAAATTGAGAAAATATATATTTATTGCCGTGTCATTGTGCTTTAGGTTCGTCAGACATCGTGTGCGACTTGCTGGGGGCCAAGGGGAAGGACATAGTGTACATCGGGGACCATATCTTTGGAGACATCCTCAAGTCCAAGAAACGTCAAGGCTGGAGAACGTTCCTGGTTATACCTGAGCTGGCCCAAGAGCTGCACGTGTGGACCGACAAGAGCTGTGAGTCTGGAGACTTTATCTAAAACAGCAGCTGCAATGTCAAACCTGCAAATAAAAAAATAGCATGAGTTGTACAATTTAAGCTAAATTTGGCAAGTTTAGAGTTGAAGACACACACACAGATACACCACGATTTGTACTAAAGCTTGCAACAAAAATAGCAAAAAGAGAAATGAAAGAGAGGAGACTGATCCACCCTCTTCTTATGTTTTCCAGCGTTATTCGAAGAACTGCAGGGCTTGGACATTTTCTTGGCAGAACTGTACAAGTAAGAACTGTGACCTTTAGCCTCTTTTCTTCCCCCTCCCTTCACCATGTCCCTCCTCTCTCCTCAGCTCTGTGTCTTTCACCAGTTATGCTGCTCTTTGCTGTCTGCAGTAACTATTTGCATGCATGTGAGCATATGTTTGAGGGAGAACAACGGGGTCAATAGGGTAAAGTCTGACCGCAGGTCGCCTGATAACCAGGTTCACTGACGTTATTTATAGCTTGGCACAACTTGCTGTTGCACTACCCCTTTCACACATTATCTTTCATCATACTGATATCAATATCCGTCTCTCCCCCACTGTCTCTCTTTCTTCCACCTCTGTCCTCATCGTCTCTCTCCCCCTCCCTCCTCAGACATCTGGACAGCAGCAGTAATGAGAGGCCTGATATCAGCACTATTCAGAGAAGAGTCAAGGTACGGCCTGTTTCTATGACAGCGGGACAGCTGTCCACACTTAAGAAAACACAATAGAGTATGATTGATACAGTTAATGTGTTTACTGTAGCTTAATCATTAACAGTCATCCACCTCATCAAAGAGCCCATTCAGGTTTTTAGTCACACTGTATTCAGTGAATCAGTGGCCAGTTTAATAGTTGCTGATTCACGTAATAAGCAAACGAAACACCCTTGATAAAGATACTACACTTAGTATAGTTAGTAAATCCGGCATGATTTTACAAATTTAGCGGTGTCTTCTCTTCTCCTTGCCCTTTAGAAAGTGACACACGATATGGACATGTGCTATGGCATGATGGGTAGCCTTTTCCGCAGTGGCTCCAGACAGACCCTGTTTGCCTCCCAAGTGATGCGATATGCCGACCTGTACGCAGCCTCCTTCATCAACCTGCTGTACTACCCCTTCAGCTACCTCTTCAGAGCTGCACATGTGCTGGTGAGTATCTGAAAGTAAAGTGAGAGGAACTGGATGAAACTACACAGCCTTAAAAGTTAGATTCAGTGCCACTGATATAGACATGGAAGTCCTGTTTCAAACAAATCAAGATTCTACAGGTTTTCATGATTCCTGGATCTGTTATTGGTCTTGATAGGTCTAATACGAGTCTGCTGA